GTGTGTGTGTGTGTGTGTGTGTGTGTGTGTGTGTGCAACTGCACAATTATAATAGGTGGGCGAGCAAATTCCCAGTGGAGCAAATCAGTGTCTGTTTATCACAGAACAGATAAACACATATTCTCAAAAATGCATGTAATAAAATAGTGAATGTACAGCTACACCAATGTAGAGTAAACGTTTTTCCATTCTCCCCTTGTTATCTGTATGTACATGTTTTTACACTAATGCATGTTCTTCTGATTCTAATGTTGTGTTCGTTTAGCGCTTTCTGAACTGTTGATTGTTTATCTTAAGTCAAGGTCGCACCATAGAGGTAAATATGTGTAGGAGTATGTGTGTGTGCGTACTCAACCCTCTTTAAAGATTATAATGGTCTTGTAGCTTAGCAGGGAGATCAAGTCTTGTAGCCAGAGATTAATTAAAGTTGATTGTAGATAATAATTAGGAATTCATTCTGCATACTGATAGGCTGTCATTAATCTTCAGACACAGCTGTTTCTTGTCCCATCGCTCCGGGAGACAGGACTTCTGCATGTGTGTACATTACGTGTACAGTTTGTGTGGTCGGACACTTTCTCTTTTACTCAGATGACGGTATCACCTGTCATGTCAGGAGCTTTCTGGATAAGAATAAACAAGAGCTCCTGTCAGGGGAGATCTTAGTTTGAGTCCTGACTTGCAGAGCTCTAGCAGACAGTGAACAGCTCTGATTGGTTTGAATATGTGGCAGCTTGTGCCGAGATGATGAATGATGTTATCGACAGCCACTGATAGAAGTTATTAAAGACCTGATTGCAGCCTATAATGACTACCTTTGATTTTAGTGTAATTACATCCTTGGATTGAATTTTGATTTTGCAGTAGTGAGAGGGAAGTGGGGATAAGCTGCACCGATAAAAGACTGAGGCTTCAATTAATGGTTCACATTATTTGTCTATCTGCAGTTATTCATTATAGTCTCTGAAGAAGAATTTGGGAAAGTCCTGCTTTAGTTTTAAGCTTTTATTCGCAGTGAAAACTGGTTCACGTCCAGGTTAAAGTGATGGACGCCGTCTGTAATTAATAAGTAACAAGTGTTTTCTGTTTTTACAACCTCTACAGAAAAGTGGTACCCCTCGTTAAAGGATCTAGTGTAAGTTAAAACACAATATCATGACAATCAGGTACGGAATGACCCAAATGCAGGCAGCATTAAAACAGGGACCAGGGTTTACAGGCAGGTCCACAGCATGATCATTACCCAGGCTGATGGAAAGAATACTGTCTGGTTCTGACGAGTCACAGAGATTAATCAGCTCTTTTGCATTATTTTGCATTGTGATTCGTCACCTCTTCACCTTTTTTGCAGAAACTTTGCTTGAATAAAGTAGCTCGCTCATGTCAAAGTGAAACAGGGGATGGATGAATGTGTGTGTGAGGTTTTCGGTGCTGCTGGATAAAAAAAAAGTCAGTCAGAGAAAGGAAGAAGAAAAAAGTTACAGCAAAACTCATCCCTAATACGTCCCTGCTTGGGATTCAGTGTGGCAGCAGAAGGATTGAGGCTAAGCCACAGTAACTGGCAGATTTGGTCAGGCCAGGGGCTGTGTTTGATTTAAGCTTCTGAGACACCTTGGTGTGAACAAGGCTCTCTTCCGCAAAATCTTCCACTGCGGCCAACCAGGAATTCCCTCATCTACCCGCTTGTGATTCACACTGCACGACTGGGCGAGCGGAATCAAACAGTGTGAAAAGGATCTCATTTCAAAATGTTAACAGTGGCAGCTGAGTGTTGTGTCAGCTCATAAACCTTCATGCTCGTCATCCCTCATCCTCCCATGTCATCTCACTCTGTACCCTGTCATGGAACTAACATTTCACCAAAATGACCTTTTTACCCAAAGGATTTTGTCTCACACATGAGAGCTTTTTTTTACGTGTGCTCCTGGCAGATATAGGATCACACATATCTGAGATAAACAGAGAGTTAAGTGTTCCTGTTCTCTTCATCTCACTTTGTAGATAAGCAGAGAAACGATGGGCTCAAGTTTGCATTTGTCTGTTTTCATGATTTTAAGCACGTGTCAGCAATAACAGTAACGATGTTTCTGTTCTATTTAAATGGCCCCGTTAGTCATGACAATCTGACAGTGATCCAGCATGAATGATTCCAGGGTCCTCAAAGTGAAGCAGCTAAAATAACACAGCCATCATTCACTTTGTTATTTGCACCTGTTCTTTTCCCACCGGCACATGTTAAACTGTCAAAACTTCTTTCTCTGATTCTATGGCTCTCATCCCCTCAGGCCCTCCAGGTGGCTCTGACTGAACACCAGGGGGAGGTGGACTACCTGACCTCAACTGTGGAGCAGGTCTTCCAGAAAGCTCCGGCAGACATCAGCCAGAAGTGAGCCACGGAATAGAATAAAGTGATGGGAAAGAAACAGAAATTAGAATTTTGATAGTTATACTTATAAGTACTGATCATTTACAGTACATATATTTAAATCACTTTGCACTCCCAGCCAGTCCAATCCATTTACCAAGAGCCTTGCCTCAAAAGAGTTTCTTAAATTATTATTTAAAACTAACAAGTAAAACAACATTAAACATTGAAACATCAGTAAGAACTACCACACCCTCACACAGATTCTGCAGAGACCACTAGAGCCCATAACCATGTGAGAAGTACAGATCTCATTTCTAGTAAAGGATCAGTGTCAAACAAACTTTAGGATTTCTTATGATTAATTCTCTGAAAATATATTTTAAAATAAACCAAACACAGCACAGACCTTTGACAGTTGCTTGGCCTTTATGTTCAGTTGGTGCATTATCAGTCTGCAGGAGTAATGAATCAGTGCAGAAGCAACTAACGCCGCGAGTCAGTAAGTCTCCATGATCTGTGCTGCTGCAGGTATCGCATAGAGATGGACGCCATCATGGCACGTTGGAGACGACTCGGCACCATGCTGGCAGACAACGTGCAGAGAATCCAGGAGCTCATGGCCAAACTGATTCAGTTTGAGGTGAGATGCAGGCGAAGGAAAATCATATGCTGTATTTGTTCTGTGACCGGTTATACATCCAAAGCCAGGACTCTACTGCTCCGACTGTGATTGACAGCTGCCAACGCCTCACTGAATACATAACACAGGAGCTGATATCACTTAGCATTTATCCAAAGCTTTGCATTAAAATCAAACCAATTTTAAACCCATCTTCCCTCAAACAAGGTAAATCCAGACTTCTCCCCGGCCTAATTAAAAACCAAGGCTGATTTATTTTACATTTGACAGCCCTGGAGTGTTTCATTTATTATCTGGATTCTCAGTTAAATCCTCATACGTCTCACTTTGAAAAACGAGCCCTCTCCCTCATAATTTTAGCAACTATTTCATATTTTAAAACTCGTTATATTGCATAAGAAAAGTTTGCTGGTTTGCACTAAGTTAAGGGTGCAGTGGTTTACAGGCTCTACTGTTTTGTTACTTATATATTGTAGAACAAGAGCTAAAGTGGGGTGAGAGACAGCAACAGAGAGAGAGAGAGTGGTCCCCTTTAGTTTTCAGATGAGATTGAAAGGAGTCGCTGTGAGGAAGTGACCTGATTCTGGTCAGGTTCGGGTCGGGCTCAATTAGTTTCCTCCATGGCTCAGACAGACGGATAAATGTGGTCCGGGCCAGACTCAAGTGCACATACACTCTCCTTCCAATTAGAGCCTTGAGATCTCTGGGTGTTCTGGACTGATGCATCAACTCATCTACCTTACGGGCTCAGTCCTCATTTTCACATGGATTTTGTCTGCCTCTCTTTTGTCTTTCTTCTCCAGAATGATGTAAAGACTTTAAAGAAGTGGATGGCAGATGTGGACGTCTTCCTGAACGAGGAATGGCCCGCGCTGGGAGACTCTGAAGCTCTGGAGAAACAGTTAGAGCAGTGCACAGTGAGGAAACCTTGCATCCTGATTTTACTTTACACTAAACTTTCACTCTCAGTGGCTTAGTTGCATCATAAATTATATTTCTTACCAACAAGTTGCTCACATTACGAAAAAGGATTAAAAGGTTATCAGTTGAGAAGTTCTGGAAATGCTAAGAAAGGTTGACAGTGGTTTATATGGAGCAGATGAAAGTAGAAGAGATCAAGGACCCAAATATAAAAATATCCTAAAGGAAACAAAGAGGAAAAAGATGAGCCGATAAATCACGTGGCTACTTTTACATAAATGGTTCCATAAAAACACTGAATCAAAGATTACCCTTATCCCTGACCAGGCTCTGGTGAATGACATCCACACCATCCAACCCAGCCTCAATGGCATCAATGAAGTGGGTCTGTACCTGAAGAAAGAGGCCGAGCCGCCGTTCGCCATCCACATCCAGAAGGAGCTGGATGAGCTCAACGCCCAGTGGGAGAACGTCTGCAAACAGGTGTGTCACCTGAACCCAGAGTGTGGTGCCTTCTTCTGCTTTCACATTGAGTGTTTGTATTCATGTGTCCTTTTCCTAACACTATCTAGGCCTATGCTAAGAAGTCCGCACTGAAAGGAGGCCTCGATAAAACAATGGCTCTGAGGAAGGAGATGCAGGAGATGCAGGAGTGGATCAACCAGGCCGAGGAAGACTACCTGGAGAGAGACTTCACATACAAGACCCCCGAAGAGCTCCGCAAGGCTGTTGAGGAGCTCAAGGTGTGTGACTGCAGACAATCGAGAGTGGCCGAGAGAGAAAGAGGCTGATTGAAGATGAAATGAGGGGCCGTATGAACCTGTGTAGGTTTCTCTGAAATCGAGGCTCTTTCTTCAGATTCGTGATCTCGTCTCAAGAGTCCTTCGCAGCCGGGGCCCAGGTCTGACCGACTTTGTGCAGCTGCTGCAGCTGATCTTTCTCTTTTCTCTGTCACTCCGTTTTGATCCTGGTTAATTCCAGGTCGATAACGCCCCCGTCTTCCTGCTTCTCTGTTCATTGTTGCAGCTGAAAACCAGCTCTCTTTCTTTCTTCTCATCTGCTCACAGCTTTGAGACCCTCTTTCAAACCCCTCCTCTGCTCTCATTCCTCAGTTTCATATCAAATTGCATTGATTCTCCAATTCACCGGAATCCTTTTTTCTTTTTTTTTAAGCTTTCATGACTTTATGTATTTCTGATGTAAATTTATGTCAGTATTTGCTTTGTGATTCACCTAAAAGCCTTGGCAGTAGCAGTCTCCTGCCATTCACCCCCCACCCAAAAAAAAAACCTATACTTGATAGTCAAGTTGAAAATGAAAATTGATTCCACTCTGCTTGCTACTCATAATCCCCCCCTCCTCTCACCTCGTCCTCCTCTCCTCATTCTTTCTGATGAAGCTCAGAGGAAACTCAAATCACTCGTTTATTCCCGTAATCCCTCTTTCTCCTGTTCCCTCCCCCTCTCTCTTGCTGGGAAAGCTACACGCTCATTAATTGATTCGTTGGGTTACTTGTTCACTCCATCTCTTCACACTCTGTGGCTTTATCAACTAGAGGAACATTGATTCATTTGGTCTTGCATCCAACCCTGTATCCATTAAGCTCTCTTTCTCTCTCTCTCTTTCTCTCTCTCTCTCCTAACTTCCTTCCTTCCATCTCTTGCTTTATATCACTCACCATCTGCCTCTCGATTCTTTCTCTGTTGCCTTAACTTTTAGGACTCAAGTTAAAATAACAAGTCTTGTTAATACAAAACAACAAACAAACTGAGTCATCTAATTCCTTTTCTTAAAGGAGTTTTCTTGTTGAGCGCAGCCTCAGCCAGTTTGTGTTCACTACAGAGTCTTCCATCTTTGTTTTTTTAGTTTCACACCTATTTTAAAAACAGTACCACTAGCTGTTATAGTTGAGCATAAGTAATTAAATACTTTTCTATTAAATACTAAATACTGATTACTTTAATTGTTAATTATTTTAGTATTAAAAACAATATTAACATGTAGTGCAAGGCTTTGTGAAAAATGTAGTGGAGTAGAAAGTACAGATACTTGCTGTACAGATACATGAAAAAAATATTTACATTCCACCGCTGTGTGTTTCATCAATATTTTCTTGATTATTAATTAAATGTACATGATAAAATTCACAATTCATATTTTGAAGGTCTTGTTTTTTTATGAAAATATATTAAAATACCATCCAATTCAAAATACAATTCCATGGCCTACATCATTTCTGAAAGCTTCACTAAACATGTCACAGCTCTGAGTTTTCAGGAAATTCCGAGGTCCAATGTCGAAAATACCTCAAGCCGGGAGGTTTTCATATGAACTCCTCTCACGAACACAAACCTATTGGAAGGCAGCAAGTGTCTCTTGCTTCCAGTTCACCTCTGCTCTCCCTAAAAAACACCCCCTCTTTACTTTCTCCGTTTCTTTGTCTCTCTATCAGAGGGCTCAGGAGGAGGTCCACTCCAAGGAGCTAAAGGTGAAACTCCTCACCGACAGCGTGAACAGTTTCATCGCCAAGGCCCCACCCACAGCCCACGATGCCCTGCGCTCTGAGCTGGACGTGCTGACAGCCAACTACCAGCGCCTGTGTAGCCGCCTGGATGGGAAATGTAAAACTCTGGAGGTATGACGTTTACCTCTCTGTCACCTCAGTCCTGCAAATGGTAATTAGATCTGTGCTGGCTTTTGTTTAAAGGTGCATTTACGTGTGAAAGGTAAAGACATTTTCGCTTCATCAGTGTTTTCAGAGGATGTATTCAGAATATTCTAGATAAGGGAGGTGTTGCAGAGTTAGTGACCATCTCATGTTGTTTTCTTACATTTAAAATGGTCTGAGCTTCGTCAGAAAGTCACTTTAAATGAACAGGAGATGTGTTTACCATTCAAACTAAATGTGTTAATGTAAATTAACCCATCAAACATTGTAATGTTGAACAGATGTTGATACTTGCACTGAACCTAAATATGCTTATACAAAACTATAAAAAAATAGATATAGCTTCACAGTAATTTGCTTACCTGTCCTCAAATCAACAGGATGTACTTTTTTTATCTTCCCAATCTCCTCTCTGCCTACTTTTCCTGAAAAATAATTTCCTCTGGGTCTTGGTATTTGTGGTAATTCAGTTCTATGGTCAAAGCACTCTCACTATTTGTCTTTTTTATTATGCTCTCTGTCTGTCTTACTTCCATCTAACACATAAAATGTCAAAACCATTAGGCTGCACAGTCTGTATTTTCCATCAATTGATTTCTCTCTATCTCCATTGTCTCTTCCTCGTAATGATTTGCTCATACGTTGTGTGTTTTTAGGAGGTGTGGGCATGCTGGTGTGAGTTGCTCTCCTACCTGGAGCAGGAAAACGCCTTCCTGGACCAGCTGGAGCAGAAACTAGATGAGACAGACAACCTGCAGGGAGCAGAGGAGCTGCAGGAGGCGCTGGATGTGAGTGAGAGGCGGGAGGCGAGGGTGCACACATCAATTCAGGGGATTTTGTTAAAAGAGGACAAGGTGGCAGAGACATGGAAAGGGCAGCATGGGTGTCTTTTGTAACGGGACACGTCCAACACGTCACCAAGGTACACAACTTGCTGCACTGAGCTGTCGAAACAGTCCCACTATGACAGTGTAGTTAGAGCGGTGGTGGATAGAGTCAAACAGCCAGAGAGATTACATAACTAAATCGGCCCCTGAGGCGTTGAACCTTTTTTTTCCTCATTCTCACATTTAAGTTTTAGTTTTAGAGAGTAGAGATTATGAATTAATGATAGCAGATATATTGTTAAATGTTACACAGCCAGTAATAGATTAAGTATGAGAGAAATGCAAAACAGACAGATAACACCCAAAGGTGTCTTTGAGAGATATAATTTAGAGTTAAGGTGCGACGTAAAAATATGAATATGAATTCTTATATTAGCAGGCACCTGGTGAAAGTAGATTCAGTGTAGAGGAT